CCCGTCCATGAGCTTTAAAAGCATCTATAATGCAAATAATATAAAAATTGAATATAATAATAACTATGATTGAATAAGAATCGAATGAAATGTGGATGGGTGATAATATGGAATAGAGTTGAGTACAGAAATTAAATGATATCATGATTAGAATTGAATATATGTTTAATGGGTTGCGGATGATATTGTATAAATGTTTAATAAATGATGTTGCAATGTATTGCATGTTGTATAGAGTTGGATGGATAAAATAAAATAATAGAATTTGTAGTTGTGTTGGCTCAAATATACAATGAATAACTTCCCCTATGACAGAATCCAAGATTACGAAGGCCAACAATTTAACAAAAATTAAGGTTTAGCAGAAACATCTTTGCTGGAACGGTTGTACTTCATGTGACTCTTGACAAGTTGCCCAGCCGCAATTGCAGACATGAGCGACAACTCTCCGGCCAAAACAGACCCCGCCACCACCTTCGCCAACTGCCTTGCATTTCCTCCGGCGCACTCTCTATTTGCACCCTTCACTCCCAACAAATTCAAACACGCAGACTGTGATGCCAACTGGGTCCCACCACCAACCGTCCCCACCTCAATCGACGGCATAGTCACAGACACATGAAGGTCTTTCCCGCCATTAACAGCCTCCATCATCGTGATACAATGAGAGCTCTCAACATTCTGTGCGGGATCTTGTCCTGTAGCGAGATACACAGCGGACACGATGTTACTCGCATGAGCATTAAAACCACCCAAAGCTCCGGCCATGGCGGATCCGGTGAGATTCTTGAGCATGTTCAACTCCACCAACGAAGCTACATCCGTCTTCAACACCTTCTTCACCACTTCTTCCGGTATCACCGCCTCACACACCACCGATTTCCCTCTCCCTTCAATCCAATTCACCGCCGCCGGTTTCTTATCGGAACAATAGTTCCCGGAGATGCCAATCACATCCATGTCCGGGAAGTCCGCTTGGAGATACTCCAAAACGTTTTGAACACCTTTCGAAACCATGTTCATCCCCATCGCATCTCCCGTGCTACAAGTAAACCTAATGTATAGATTCTTCCCTGCAATCGCACATCGGATTGTCTGAAGCCTCCCAAATCGGCTCGATTTGTTGAAAACAGAAGCTAGGGTTCCGAAATTGAGCGGCTCCTCCAAGAAGAATTTCAAATCCGCCGCCCGTTTCGCGGTGGCGAAACGAACCACCGGAGCCCGAGTCATCCCGTCTTTAAGTAACACACTGGTGGCTCCACCGGAAACATAAATAGCTTTACAACCGCGATTCGTGCTAGCTACAAGACACCCTTCGGTTGTGGCCATGGGGACGGAGAACTCCATTCCGTCCAACAACAAGGGGCCGGCGATACCCACCGGAATTTGGACATAACCAACCGGCATCTCACAACATTGTCCTAATATCGATTCATAATCAAGCCCCTCAAGCGGCAAACCTTCCAGAGATTTTCCGGTGATTCTCTCTAACGCCACTCTTCTGATGAAGGCTGCACGCTTGCAGTCCCCGAGTTTCGATTCCAGTGAGTAAGACGGTGTTCTGCCGGAAACCACCGCTTGTATCACCTCTTCATCTTCTTCACTAACAACTGTGTCTATCGCTACGATTGCTGTTTCCACTTCCTTCTTCATGACTTCTTTTACAGACACGATATCAGATTCGCGAATAACGGAAGCACCACAGGGAGTTGTTTCTTCTTCTACTTCGTCTTCTTCCTCTGTTTCTGTAAATGGTGTAGCCTGGACGAAGTTCATACCAAAGAATCCAAGAAGGTAGATACAGGAGGCGCAGAAGGTGATAATGGCAGCCATTTCAGACATGTTGGTGACATGGAGAGGAGTGGAGTTTCTGATCTTCTCACGCCATCTGATAAGAAGGTAATAAACAACCGAGAAGAAAACAGTAAAGAAGATTCCCATCGGAATAGAGATTGCATCGAAAGCCTTTGGAGAATCCACCATCTTTTTGTTTTCTGTCTTCAACATCTGATCTTCTGAATGTTGATCAAATTGAGCTTTTCCCATGTTTTTCACTGACTGTTTCAAGGAAGATGACAGAAGATTGAATGTTGTTGATCAAGGATGAGAAATAAAATCAGATTTGGGGTGAATATATATAGAAAGATGGCAGCTTATGAGACAAAACATAAGTCTTATCTTGAGGACACCTACATTGAATTATGAAGACCATATACACATAGAGTCAAAGAAAGGTAGCAAACTTGAAACTTCCATTACAATAATTGGACATGATAGTGACAATTTCGTGAAATAAATAAATGTGTATATAAACAAAAGTGTGTACAAATTATAGATTCCTTGTATCTGACTGATGAGTGTTGATAATTGATGTAGGCTTTGTTTTAAACGTGTAAAATAAACTTGGTGTAGCCCATCATAACATAGCATCAGTGATCGTTTTGTGCAAAATTGTATTTGTAGTAGGCATTTCATCGAACACCTTTGGTGCATTCTCAAATTAACTCTGATTTTCAACACCAATCAACCTAAACACTGTCCAGAAACAGAGGTTGACTTAGAAGAATTGGATTTAGCAGGTTTATAGAAATGAAGAATCTACTTAAAGTCTTTTTTTGGTGTTCTTGAAAACGTAGTATGTGAAATCAGTTTGAATTGCATAGAAGATAGACAGTAGGCTCTTTTTTCTGAATCCTGCAGGGAAGATAGACTTGACACAAACAATGGTGGACAAGAATCAGGAGAACATTGATTCCTTTCGGTTTTTCACCATGCTAAACAAGAAAAACAGGAAACGAATTATAAACCATTTATAATATTGTAGTTATCGGTGGAAATGTTTCAAACTCACCTAGATTCACCGGAAACCTAACAAAAATTAAATGGAATTTTTTTGATTAAAATATCGATTCAAAAGACATTAGTTAATTAGTTTACATAGAATAATTTAGTATTTTAATAATAAATTGTTCTAATTTTTTAGTTTGTTGATAATTTGTATTGAGACAAAAATAATGAATAAGCTATCATTGAAGTCTTTGTTATTATATGTTCCCATAATTTATAAAGTTTCTCCATCTATTATCTGTAGGGAAATCTTCATTTTAGTCCTATTATTTTGCCCGTGTTTACGAAAAAGTCATGAACTATTAAATGTTAACGGAAAAGTCTAAAATACCGGATAAACCGGCGAATTGACCCAATTTACCCGGTTACCACTCTTGCAACCGGTGACAAACCGACGTGCCACTATTTTGTTTACATTGAAGCTGACTCGATCTCTCTCTCTCTCTCTCTCTCTCTCTCTCTCTCTCTCTCTTACGCTCAGTTGTTACGTTATTTAAGAGTACACAAACCCTAAATCGACCAAATTGCAAGTTTTGAATATGGCTTCCTCCTCCTCCGTCTCCAACAGTAGTGCATATAGGTCAGCCAAGCAAGTTCGAAGAAGGTGTGATTGTGATGAACCAGTTGGTAGGTGGACTTCATGGAAACCGAAGAACCCTGGAAGGAGATTCCTTGGTTGCCCCAATTACAAGGTTAGTGTCTTCGAGTCTTTGATTGTGAGGTTTTTATCTTCATGGAAACCGAAGAACCTTATATCAGTTAAATGTGAGGTTTTTATTTTCAAATCTTTGAAATTTCCCTTAAACACCATCCAATTTTTGCATCGTGCAAAATGTCATCCAATGCAGGATAAGGAGAAGGATTGCAAATTCTTTGAATGGATAGATCCTCCATTACCAAACAACTGGTACAAACAGATGATATATGATTTTCACAACCAAAGAATTTATGGAGTCAATGATGAAGAATTTGAAGACTTTATGAATGAAGATGTGGAAGAAGTAGTGCAACAGATTCCTCTGCAAGTGGAAGGTGGAATGGTTGTTAAGGGATGGAAGATTTGGTGTTTGGTTGGTTTAATTGCAATTGTTTGGCTAATGTTCATGTAATTTTAGGATGCTTACTTATGTTTCTATGTAATGTGACGTTTCCCTGTTTCTTTTGGAATGTAATGGTATGAATTGTGGAAAACGTTATCTTCTAATGTAATGGTATTTGAGTATATAATGGTATCTGAGTATGAAAATGCATATTTTGTTTGATTGCAATTATTTGGATTATGGTTGTAATTTTAGGATAGCAAATAACTATAGGAAACAACATTACAAAATAAGTATAGGAAACTGCATTACAAACCATACAAAAGTACATACCAAACTGCATTACCAAATAACCATACCAAACTACATACCAAAGTATGTCATAGTGTTTGACTTTCCAAAAAAATTACAAAAAGGGAAATTTTTACCCAAAGAGTTATATAAAGCCAACACAATGACTTAATTACAAAAAAAAAAAAAAAAAAAAAAAAAAAAAAAAAAAAAAAACCTACCATTGACTTATTCTAAATTAAGTGGTTTGCTTTCAGTCATCCCAAATTTGCTAACCACTTGCTTCTTCAACTTCAACTTAGTTATCCTCTCTGATGGCTTCCTCCTCCTGATTCTTTGGGTGCTCCTCCTCATGATTTCTTGGATATCCTCATCATTCTGAATCTCTTCTTGAACATTGATCTCCTCTTCTTGAACATTGGCCTCTTCTTCCTGAACATTGACCTCTTCTTGAACATTGGTTTCCTGAATAACAAAACAAATAATTTCAAAATTTGGCTTTGATTTGTAATGCCCTTAAAAAGAAACACTCACCACATTTATAGATCCAAACTCCTTCAATTGAGATTCATTAATTCCAATAGTAGACATTATTTCAGCATCACTGTAGTTTGATGACCTCAAATTTATAATGGAACTTACTGTTATATCCATATCTGATATATCAATTCCATCTCCCTCATCCACAACATCAAGTTCAACCTCAACATCAGGTTTAACCTCATACTCAGGTTCAACATCAACATCACGTTTAACCTCATACTCGGTTTTAACCTCAAATTATGGTCCATTTATAATTTCCCCCATCTCACCTCTACCACCTCATGTTCCACCTCTTCTCCAATGGATAAGATTAGGATCCAACTTAGGCCTTCCCATTTTCTTCTTTGGTTTTGGTTCAGGGATCACCTTGAGATTTTTGCAAGAGACTTTATTATGACCCTTTTGCTGGCAGTTTGTACATTGGACAGTTATGCCCTTAGATGATACTTGTGAAAACTTGTCCTCATGTTCAGAAACATGCCTCTTTCTCTTGATGGCTGGTCTTCCTGGCATCCTTCTTTCAATAGGTGGGAGGGGCTTTGGATAAGGAGCTTCCACCCACATATTGCTACCATTGACTGGTAGTATGTTACAACCATATGTTAACATATATTTCTCTTTACTAAACCAACTACTAATGTAGCTCACAGGATCTTGTTGTGTATACATAATGGCAGCTTGGGCATGTACACAAGGTATCCCTGATATAGCCCACAAATTACAAGTACAAGTATACTCTTGTAAGTCAACACCATAAGAGTAAAAACCATTCCTCACTTCAAAAGCAGTTACCCTGCTAGGATGAACATACCAGGTCCTGTAATTAAGAGTACATCAGCATATGAAAGATAATATCAGTGCATTAAATTTTAGGATAACTTACTTTATAGTTTCACCAAATGCTTCCATCTTCTTAATTGCTGCTGGACATATTTCATTATCCCATTTCTGTCCTTCTTCCTTCAGATTATAGAATCTTTCCATCATGTATAGTCATATTTCCTCAAGCATGGCCAGTAGGGGCTTTTTTCTAGCATCCACGATAGTTGCATTAAAACATTCAGTCATTCCATTTTCTACTGCCTCACATGCCAATCCTCCACCATAAAAGGCCCTGCACCATGAACTGGGATCCCTTACCATTAGATGTTCATAAGTAGATGGACTAATATCCCTAATCTTTTGCATGTTCACGTTGAACTCCCCTTCAACAGTTGATTTTGCAGCAACCCAAAACATATTTTTAAACTCCACACCACTATACACCTTCCTGAAGTTGAAATATATATGCCTAGCACATTGTCTGTGTTGTGCAAGTGGTAGGACTTCTTTTGTAGCCTCAAGAAGCCCCTATTCATAAAAAAAAACAATTACATCAAGTAACAAAAACAATTACATCAAATAAACTAAGTATGAAGTATATAGTAAAGAAATAGTAAAGTTTTTGTGAAGTACCTTGTGTTGTTCAGAAATTACTGCCATACCCCTTCCACCATCCAATTCTAAATCATTTGTTATCAATTCCAAGAACCATTTCCAGTTTAACTTGTTCTCTATGTAAACTACAGCCCAGGCAATGGGATACACTTGATTGTTTGCATCTCTACCAATAATAGTTAACAATTCTCCCTTACATTGACCTTTTAAAAAAAGACCCATCTAGTCCAATAACCCTACGACAACCAACCTTCCATCCTTCTTTTATTGCCTTAAAACAAATATATATTCTTTGGAAAGTAGTTGTGTTATCCTGGTTTTGACTCATAGTAATTTTAATTGAACTACCTGGATTTGATCTCAACAGCTCACCACCATAATCCCATACTTTAGCATAGTGATCACTCAATCTCCCTTCTATCAAAGACATGGCCCTACACTTTGCTCTATAGCACTTTGACCAGGACACATTGTAGTGGAATCTGCTTTGGATAATTACCTGCATTTCCTTACACTACAACTTGGGCTTCCTAATCAGTTCTTTCAGAAACTGGTTTCCTAACCATGTTGGACCCATAAGGTTGGTATTTCTGTAATTCCTAACACACCTATGTTTGTCTACAAGTTTCTTAATTTGAAACGACCTCTCTGTGTTCATCCACGAAGCCCTAACATTAAATGGACATTGAAATTTTTGTGGATCACTAGCACATACAACAACTAGCCTAACACTGTCACATTTCTTGAACTTTATCTTATAACCAGTATAAATAGCATGGTTAGTTAAACATAACTTCAGTTGATGGGGTGATTCATACCTCTCTCCCAGAAGTGGTCTCATCTTGTTCCATTTAACCTTTGGATCGTGGGTGTTGTATTAAAACTCAAGCTTAGAATCATGATCACTTTCACTTGATACATCTTCATCATACCCATATACTTCATCAGACCCATTTCCTTCTCGCATTGAGTCAAAATGATCTTCATTCTCCACCACATCATCTTCATTTAAGTCAACCTCGTCGTCGATATGTTCAATTTCAGGGATTGCAAAGTCATCACCTTCTTCACCAGCTATGTCGGGACACAAGCTATTCAAGAACGCATCATTGCATCTCTTGGTTTGCTTCTTCAAATCCTTGTCTACTTCAACATCAATAATATCAAAATCCCATATGTCTTCCATTAGCAAATCTTGTAAGACTCGAACTCGTGCCCACAGTTGTCGTCTTCTTCGCACGTAAAAAGCCCTAATTTCTTACCATAACTGTGTGTGATCCAACGTTGAAGGAATGAGTGTGTGATTTGGTCGACTCACCTTCCACCTAATCTCATTTAATGCCACATCGGTTTGTCACCGGTTGCAAGAGTGGTAAACGGGTAAATTGGGTCAATTCGCCGGTTTATCCGGTATTTTAGGCTTTTCCGTTAACATTTAATAGTTTAGGAATTTTTCGTAAACGCGGGCAAAATAATAGGACTAAAATGAAGATTTCCCATTATTTGTACCCATAATTTATAAAATTTCTCTATCTATTCCTATTTTGTCATTTTGTTGTTTTCAAAATTTTTGTTTTGTTTTTTGTTGTTTTTTTATTTTGTCATTTTGTTATTATTTATTTTTTTAATTATTATTTAATAATAAAAAATTAATCAAGCACAACTTAAAAAAAAAAAAAAAAAAAAAAAAAAAAAAAACTCTTTTTAATAGTCAAAGCATCTTCATCTTTTCATAGATGGTTTTCTTGACTTTTAATAATACATTTTTATATAAAAAAATAAAACTCCTTTTAACAGTCAGCACATCTTCATATCATATATAATTTATTTTTATTTTGTCATTTTGCCTCTATCTGTAACAATAAAAGAAATCATTTTTTTTTTCAATCATCACAATTTTTAATCATCACAAACTTACTTTATGATCTTCTGGCTAATAAAATTTACATTTCCAACCCTTCAACTTTTATAATATATTCACTTTCTTTGCATGCTATTCAATCGTTTATCTTTAATAATAAAGAAATTGATTTGATGTTTTGTTTTCTTCTATTATTACGTATATATAATATGATCGATCGATCAATTGAAATCATTCAAAATTTCGTATCTCATATATCTACATAGACATATCTACAACGATTGAATCACATGGCGGATTTTCATACTAATCAGTTTTTTTTTTCTTTTTGGATAGTTTTAGTATACGTAATGCTTGTTTCAGGTATCAATTACTTTTCAGGATTTTAGGGTTTTAGACTAGAACTCGACGAGTTGGGGAGCTCCAACTCATCGAGTAGAGATCATTTTGGACGCAGGATTTAGGATCTACTCGACGAGTTGGAAGGCCCAACTCGACGAGAAGACGTTGTAAAGGGAAACCCTACTTTTCAGGGGTTTGTACCTTATTTAAGGAACGTATGGCTCATTTGTGGCCTCTGTCATCGTCCTCATTGTCTAGAGAGAAACCCTAGTTGTGCCTTAATACTTTCTTGAGTGTGTGTGAGATTTGGAGAGTGAATCTTGTGTTGTTTGGAATGAAACTCGAAGTTTGAATGGATTGAAGTGAGGAGGAGGCTATAGATCTGGCATCTACCCTGTATTAGCATCCATTTGGAGGTAAAAGGCTCTACCTTGACCTCTTGTTTCGTAGATCTCCTCCTAGGGTAGTTTAGTGCATTTTAAACCCATTTTGGGAGCCATTTTCGGAGTTGAGCATGATTTGAAATTGTGACTTCAGATCTGGACACCTTAGGCCTCCTTGGGCTTAAGATTCAAGCTTTATCAAGCTTTGGTCTTTCTATATGCCATAAACCCATTCATAAGCTTAGTTTTGAGTGTTTTAGCCTCTTAAGGCCTTACATGAACGTAAAGTTGGCAACTTTATGTGGTAACTACACCCTAGGGGACTGGATCCGTAGTTTGGAGCTTTGGATTCAATTGGAAAGGTCTGAATATGAAAAGGTTGAAGGAACTCGACGAGTTGGATCGAATTACCCCGCCTTCTGGATACTGAGTGAACTCGAAGAGTTGACGAGACAACTCGGCGAGCTGGCGAGGGTTTATCCCAGTTTTCTGGACTCTGAAGGAACTCGACGAGTTGCTAGATACACCCGACGAGTTAAGGTCAACATGGATTGTTGACCTTGACTTTGAATATGGTTGTCAAGTTTGACCATAAGGGTATTTCTGGTATTTCTGGTATTTCGGGATTTTGACAAAGTTAGTCACATGATAATTGTAGGCAGTTGTGTTAGAGTTGCAAGTTGGGATTGACTTTATCAATTCAAGATTTCTTGAGAGGTGAGTCTCATCACCATACCAATGGGTCGAAGGCACCAAGGCCGGCCCATTATGTGTTGCGTAATATATTAATTTGTTATGTGATATGTGATATGCTAAGTAGGAAGACCGCGGGAGGAGCCCATGGCAGTCGAATATCAGACCAAGCGGAGGAGTCCATCGCATTCCAGGTAAAGACCATGTGGGGGAGCCCATGGCAAGCAACTAAGACCATGTGGGGAGCTAATGGCACATAGGTCTAAAACCCTAGGGGAGCCCACGACATCCTGGAGTAAGACCCTGGAGGGAGTCCACGACATCCCTACATGTTTATATGTGTGATATGTAGTATTGTTGGGTTGAAAAAATTGGTTTATACTTTGCTTTTCTAAGCATTTATTGTTTTTAGTCTTGGGCGAAAATAATATTCGGTTTATTTGTAGCTTGGACCGAAATCCAGTCTAGCATTGGGTTTGGGCCTTGAGTTTGCGGTATATATATATATATATATATATATATATATATATATATATATATATAGGGGTGAGGAGTGGTCCGAGTGGAGGAGTGAGACACAAGTGGTGGAGCATATTCTAGAGAGAGAAAGTTAGAGAGAAGAAGTGTGTGTGTGTGTGTGTGAATCTTGTATTGGAGCATCAATCTTATCATCAATACATCATAGATTCATATTCTTCTTCTTCTTCTCCATCCTATCTTGCATCATCCGCTTAATTGAGATTCCGCACCTTCCAGTGGATCGAATTGATACATCAAGCTAATTTTAGGGACTTACAGTTGATATCAGAGCCTGGATTGTATCAATCTTTATGGCAAGATCTACAACATTTTTGCATTTTTTTCTTGAAGGATTTAAATTTTTGGATAGTTTTTGAAAAATTATTGGGGATTTGTTCTTCGTGTTTTTCATAAAAATGAGTTTTTGATCGAGTTTTAGGGATAAAATGTGAAAATTCGCGTTTTTTGGTCGTAAACAGCGAAATCCGGCAACCATTTTCGCATTCAGCATGTTTTTCCGAACCCGTTTACAGTCGCAAACCTCGTTTACAGCTGTAAACCCCGTTTCCAGCTGTAAACTCGTTTTCGATCAAATAACTTCGTTTTCGGTTCTAAGGATATATTTTTGGTTTAAAAAAATTAAATTAATTTTTCAAATTTTAAAGTTTCATTTTCAACCTAAAGTTTTGACTTTTATTTTTTGACTTTCTAAATTGACTTTTGACCTCAAAATTTGACTTTGACTTTTAAGTTTGACCTTTGACTTTTAAGTTTGACCTTTGACTTTAAACTGTGACTTTCTCATTTAACTCTCAAATTTTCACTTTTAGCTTTTCAGTTTGACTTTTAAGGTTTATAGTTAAAGGGCATTTCTAGTAAACAATCAGTTCCTCAAACATCCCGGTCAATGAAGTTTTATGTGAAAAAGTTTGATCATAAGAGAAAGGCAATGGCAACGAAAGGCATGCCATGGTCAAAAAGTTTGATCATAAGAGAAAGGCAAAGTCTGAAGTAGTTCCGTGTGCTGTTTCAAAAGAGTCAATTTGCTTTTATTGCCAAGAGAAGGGGCATTGGAGACAAAGCTGCCCTATCTACATGAGAGATCTAAAAGATGGGAGAGTCAAGACGATTGGCTCTACTTCAGGTAAAATCCACTATCTAACTCCATTAAGTTCCTATTCATTAATTCTTAATACATAATGTGATAAGATTACATTTGAATGTTTTGCAAAATCAATGAAAAGAGAGGAAGCTTGATGGAAGAGCAAAATGAGTCTGATCACGAAGAAATGGATCACGATCGCATGGATTCAAATATCAGATTTTGAGCTTAGAAAATTATGATAAAGTTGTTGGGAATATTTGATTATATAGTTTTTCAATTGATTTTGCATTGTAAGGACATGTTTTCCGCTGCTTTTATAAAATAAATTTTGATTTATCTTATTTAAGTATATCCTTGCAATGATATCATTGTGAAAAATTGATGTTTGTGTATTTATATAAATGGATGTGATTCTTAGTTATGTTATTTATGGTAGTGTCAAATTTTTATAAGTAAGAAAAGATTCCCATCATCCAAGTTTCAATTGGACAGAAACTTGGAATCATATGATTTGAATCATGTGATGTATGGAAATCTTGGTATTTAGGAAATTAAGACTAATTCCTTGATCACACAAGTATGTGAGTCAAGTAAAGGACTGAAGGAATAGAACACAATGTTGTACACTAGTCAAGTCCACCACAAATAACAATAAAACTATTCATCACAATTTACTAAAAGTCTAGTAAATGTGGTTATGCTTACAAGATTAAGTAGAATTCTGAATCATTGAAAAGGTTTCAATGAATGGCAGAACGAATAAGAAGAATCAATAAGGCAGAAAGATAAAAGCTTCTCCAATCTAAGAAGAAGGGAGAGTACTTTTGTATCGGTTTTATGATCATCTTAATGATTAAGAACAATATCACAATAGATCCTCTAAGGACATCTTAGTGTACTGGTATGGCTAAGAAGAGGAATAAGAAATTGTTGAAATGGTTAAATAAAAAAGGATGAGTCATACTTCATTCCAAAATCAAGTCTTAGAATCGCACTCCAAGATTATGATATGAGTGACACACATTCATCAAATGTGAAGTATAAAATTGTTTTCCTACTCTTACACATTTGAATTTGGTATGTTGTGATGACTTGAAGAAGCCAAAGACCAACTAAGACCAAATGTGTGTAATGTTTTGTATTGATATAGACACACACTAACTCTTGGATATTTGTTTATCAAGAAATGTTCTTGCTAAGAGAATATAATATGTCAAGAGGTCAGTGGGAGTCTGAAGATCTTGAAAGGATTCAAGAATTAATCAAGAGTAAACACTAGCACA